ACTAATATGAGATAGCAGGGTGTCAACATCCAAATTCAATCACAAATCTTTTTTTGCAACGACTACACAAGCTAATAATGAATTTTTCACTAAACAGATTTCACTTCAAGGGCAAAATTACACATAAATTCATGATAGATTCATGGAAAGTCCGCTACCCCATACTAGGATTGTATCTCATAATAGGGGACTTTCCTCTACTTGTTATAGAACATTGACATCTTATATGTTATATGTGTACATATATATATCTTTTAACATGTAAATAATTAATTAATTAGATTTAATATTACTTAATTTTTATAATAAAAGAGTGAGATTTATCAGTTTTGTTTTTATCTTTTTGTAAAAGATGCGTTAAAAGTACGTTCCTTTAAAAAAGAAAGACTTGCTAATGACAAAGGAAAAGCTATTTGGCTTAATCGTTATGCTTTATTATTTGAAGAATTTTAATTTCTAAACTGATAGCTATTATCACAAATCATTTTCCATTAATGTGCGTGACACATAAAGAATTGTATAGCTTCATGAAATGAAAAGGAGATAAAGATGTATGAATTGTGTCCAATCCAGATGCTCAACAAATGCTTTATCTAATAATGTAAACGCGTTTGTGTGCACTCGCGCGCGTGTGATTGTTGTGTAATTGTTTCAAGAAAGTTTCAAAAAAAGAAGCGTACATATAAACTTTAAATTAATATGTATATTATATTTATTTCTCCACGTGAAATAAAGGCAGCTCGTGCTCTGAATTTATTTATTTGGGATTGTTTTATTTGGCAATTTTTATTTTTAAACAAAAGCTTAATACGACCACAATAAGCAAGGACATGGATATTAATTACAAAAATTAGGCCAAAAGTTACAAATTCAAACTTAATCTTATCACGAGAAAAAGATAGATTTGCCGTGTTAAATATTGATAATAGAATTTAGTAGCTGTGATAATATGTATCTTTTATTTAATTATTTATTTAATATTTACAATTTGCACTACCTAAGTTTTTAAGAGAATATTAACTCAAGTTTGGATATTTATAAAAATTGATATTCTCGTTTTTAAATGTTCGTAAATTTTTATAAATATTTTAATAATCCACATTTTTTTATTTTCGCTTCTCTAAACTGCTTCTTTGAAGTTAAGGCTCCTGTTTTGTTTTTTTAAATTAGTTTTAATTACAAATAAAAGTTATTTAAAAAGAGAAGTACAATTTTAATCATAAGCATAGCAACATCAAGAGAAATAGAAGTCTATCGCATTTGCGATATAATCGGTTCTGAAGTGAAATGTGATATATGTTACTTGTATGCGTTCAAAAATTTATTGCTCAAGCAGTAAAGCAGCAGTTGGCAAAAAAGAATGAAAAAAATTACAACTTTTGGCTCTTTCGTAAGATATTAAGATATTTTCTTCTGGATTTTTATTTCTTTCTTTCCATTTTCAGAATATTTTCTATGTAAATATACGTATGTATTTTTCTTGGTACTCTTTCAAATTAAATTTTACATTAACCTGCAATTTGAACGAGAAATAATCTTAGACGAGACATGCAAATTATTTCTGTGCAAGTGGAGAGAATATTTTTGTCTTTTTAAATCGGGCAAATTTCGTACTATACGACGTTACTTCAAAAGTTAAAGACAGTCGGAACGTGAAAAGGTGCGTGGGAAAAGAAGGAAATTTGATATTCATGAAGCATTTTAAAGTCGTGGTGTCCCAGAAATGGGTACGAAATGTAGTACGGATTGTTAAGCGGGGGAATAGAAATTGGTAGACGTAGGAACCTATTTAGATGCGAGTCCATGATTTGCACCCATTTCACATAAACCCTCTTTCTCTCTTCTTCTTTCTTCAAACGGCGCTTAAGCTTCCGCTTAAGTCGATCGAGGAATAATGCCATTTCGCAGCAAATCTAAATTATAGTCGCGCGTCTGTAAGTGATATGAAATAATCAATGCTAAATAACGTATTTAATAAAAGCAGCACAAACAGTAATAAATCTTTTCTCAAGGATAATTTGGCAGCACGTATTTGCCAGGTTAAGAATAAGATTATATAGAAATGTGAGATTATTTATCCTTAAAATCTTGCAATTAACAAAAAGTCATAGACTAAACACGAGCAACAATAGGTGTAATAAATAGATCCAAAGTTTATTATCGTGTAATAAAAGATGTGTATGTTTCGACTTATTAAGTCAGCACAACAATTATATAAGTAATAAATAATAAATAATAAGTGATAAAATAACGATTAACATTAAAAAAACGAGTGTTTTATAAGTAATATGTGATTATATGATTACTTTAATCTTAGAGACATGTATGTAGAAAATGTAAATCATTTAAAATAATATATTGTTTTTTTTATTATAATTGTACGATTGTAGTAGAGTAACTAATATATTACATCTAATTAATCTAAATATAAATAGTTAATCAAGTTCAATGTATTGATTGGTACATTATTTTGGTATAGTAACAAATTGTTCTCATACGTTTAGAAATTATTATCTGTATTATCCTACATTTTTTAACAATTTTTGGCTTTGTTCAATTTCATCTAACGTACCTTTTAAACATTTTAATAGTGGCTGATCAGTGTGTTGATAATTGTAGACAATTACAGCAAAATGTAATTTGTTACTTATATTAACTTTTTGAGGTGCATAAATAGAGCACAGTCCTCTATTATGAGACAAGCTCCTAATATGAGATAGCAGGGTTTTCGCTAAATTAATAGGCATAATCTATTGGTGTCGTTGTGAATTTATTGCCCTTGGAGTGAAATTTAGTGGAAAGTTCATTGTTAGATCGTGTAATCGTTGCGAATGAAGATTCGTGCTTAAACTTTTATGTTAAAAACCTGCTATCTCTTATTAGAAGCCTATCTCCTAACAGAGGACTTTCCTCTATTAATAAATATTCTAAAAATCTGATTATACACACGTGTCTTTCAAAATAATCAAAAACTTGTTTCGTTTAACTTTTCATTAATGATTTGCAATTGTATATTACAAGTGCACGGTGTTAAAAATGAAATATCGACATGAATTTAGTAACTGGAGACAAAATCGCTTCTTGCGCATCGTCAAAGACGATCTGAAGCTGTGAAACAGTTTGTGCAACATTCAATCGTCGAGCAAGAGCTTTAAATTCCGCGTGAGACGGAGATGCTCTCTTCCGGATGCACGGAGATCCAGACACGCGGAGCAATATCTCGTTAACCGGGCACGATCAGCGCTCCGACACCCGCTCCTTTATCTCCCTCGCACTTCTCTCTCCCTCCTCCCGCTCCTTTGACGTGACGTAAATGTGACATCCCGTGACCCGTTCCCGCCCCTGGCTACGGCCCGTGCGGAAAATTGTACCCCGTTTAGATCGAGATCGCGGTTGCCAGATAAAAGATCACCCGTACCGACCGTAAATTGAAATTCAAAAGGAAAGAGGAGAAAAACCGCGATACGCGGATTCCAGTTGGGTAGGGGAGGGAGGAGAAGGTGACCTCGGATGGCATCGGGGGCGGGACGGTGGCGGACAGAAGGAGAGAGAAAGATACAGGGGGAGAGGAGGGGAGGGGGCAGGATTCGCGCGTATATATGTATAATAATTATTTTAGAAATTAATGGGATACCTCTCGAGTGACCGGATTCGCGCGATGTGGCGCGGCGACGAAGGGGAGATTTACCACCGGCGGTCTCATGGTGGGGCGCGTGGGAGGAGTGTGCAAATGGCGACGCGATCTGGGACGCGCCAATCGCCAGGCGCGCCGGAAGACCGAATAGAGGACGGCCACACCCCCCGTGCGTGACGCGACTGCCCTGCGCGCAAGAGCATGATCCGCGCTTATTCTTGATAACGGCATACAGCCGACCAGTCACCACTCAGACGGCGTATCCACTGCTGTCAGTCTACGCGGTCTCTTTTCCCTCTTCCATGTAAGCGCGCTCTCTTTTTTCCCTCCTTCTTTCTTCCTCCCTTTCTCTTTATTCGTTGATTGCGCTTTCGCTGATTTCGTTCGGGCGGCAAGTTTAAAAAAAAAAGCGTGGTGCTCTACACGCGTGCGGGATTGACGGGAGGGAAGGCGTTAGTCGATCTGCGAATTGATTTTGGAGGGTGGAGTCGGCGCTCGATCGACACGGCGCGATATGTGTCGCTAATTAAGAGATCTCCCTCGCTTCCCGAGCTTGTCGTGCGAAGGGAAAGAAATTAGGAATCACGATAGGTAGGACTGTGGTGAAAAGTGTCAAATTTTTCGGGCGGGAAAAGTGCTTCGAGTGTCAGTGGTATATCAAGTCAACAGTGTACTGGGTTCTATGAGAGGTCTGTTACTGAAGATGTACAGTGTTCGATAATGATCGGTAAAGGATATTTATGAACGAAATCGAGTGGCACTTCCTCGCTTGGATTGTCTTCATCTTGAGGGGGTGTCTTTTTCATTAATTCGTGCACGCGGAAGACTCTACTCGGAGCACCATTTTCTATTGTTACATTAACTTTGTTTCGTCGCGCGGTCGTTTCACCCAAGCCATCGCGATGCCGTCTGCTCATTTTCGAATGTGTGCTGGCGACACACGGTGTTTCTCAAACATATATTGCATATAAAACGACCACCTCGCAACGACAAAAGTTCGGCATTCAAACTGCAAGTGGCATCAAAATTGAAGAAAGGATCGGACTGTTTTGGAAGTGCGATCAAAGACAGAGAAATCAAAAATCGAATTACGAGGTTGGCGTGCATCGATGATATATCGTAACACATTGCTTGGGACAGATTCGGGACCCAAGGCTTCTCTTTAACAGCCAATCTTTCACGGCTCGTCGCGATTTATCGTGAAAAGATTCTCAGGAAGTCTGGCTTTCTATTGCGGCGAAGCGGATCGTCGTTCCAACGCGTTGACTAACTTTGTCTTGACGGAGGAGGAGGAGGAGGAGGAGGAGATAGTTAATAAAAATCATGTGTTAATTAAAGGTGTTAATTAAAAAGGTGATCGCAACGCAGCGGACAGTGACGAATTGTTCGAGTGGTGGCGGAGGTGGTGGAGGTGACGGTGACGACGGGGTGGTGGCGGCGGCGACGGAGAAGAGACGCTCACGTATGCAACCGCGACTGATACGGTAGAGGAGGTGGAGGTCTAGAAGTCGACGAAGTTAAGATGGAAGCCGAGGACCATCTGGCGAGGGAGTACGTACAGGAGTTCGTTCTCGATCATTTGGATCCTGCTGATGTCAAGCGAGAGGTAAGCGCAAGAATTTTTGAGATTACTCCGAACACGGTAGACCCGCTCTCTAAAAATCAATCAGTGGGTTGTTACTGAAAACAGTGACTAGTACTTTGCAGTTGTAGGTAGACCGCTGAAAATCGCAGTAATACACTTATAACCGTCGATCAGTGACTATTCACTGTTTTCAGTGATAATGGATTTTAGAGAACGGCAGGTTTTAAGAGGATTTCTTATTCAATTATATTTTTCCTTGCTTTATGAATGTAGTATATATACTACATCGAATAAGTTACGCAATTTTATTATAATAGCTTTTATCCCTAGAGTCGATGACAGAAACAAGGGGGAAAATAAAAGAAATAATTGAACGATTTATACGCGTGTGACGTTACTTCTGCCGCGAAGCGTGATACCTTTTGCAAAGGGCAGTTGTAGTTTTTTAAATAAAATTCTAATAAAAAATGTACGATTCAATTTATTTCTATAAATATGTGTAATTGTATAAACAATTTCTTTGGCTAGTTTTTGCTTATACTGAAAGTACTTGCTCTCTAAGAGTCAGCCAGTGGATTATCACTGAAAACAGTGACTATTCATTGTTTTCAGTGACAATCCACTCACTGACTTTTTGTGAGATGGGTATAAAATTATAAAAATTGAATATTGAAACAAATATTTCGTGTTTCACCTTAGAGTATTTTCAACCTCCCTCCCTTGTATTCTCGTAGTTTTAACACCCATTACATGTATAATTAAAAAATTCATACAATTTTGAGTCGGCGTATGTCTTATTTTAAACATAAAACTTTGAATTACAAAAAAATTGTTATCTTAAAAATTGTTCTCAACTCTTTCGAAGTCATCAATTATAAAAATTATAACAATTATAAAAAATAACACAAAAACATGTAGAAAATAGAAGAATTTGAAAAATGTAGTAGATATTTTTCTTTGTACTTAATAAGTTCTTACGTGTTTTAAAAAATATTAGCTCTATCGCATATGTATTATTAAAAAAATATTTTAATTAGTAATACTATAATAGTTTTAAACGCAATACTATGAGAAGAATGATTATTATATAATAACATTTATTCTTCTACATACATATAAACCGGTTGGGTAAAGATAAAATTGATACGGATTAGAAAATTGTGGATTTTAAATTTGATGTTAGAATTTTTACATTTTAAAACTCGAAATAGCGAGTTCAATGTGGTAGAATTGAGAATAAAGATTTTTGAAAACTATAAATATGTTTAAAGCTTCATCTCTTTTATTCTTGTTCTTATAATACAAATTATCATTTAATACAAATACCTATGTATACATACAAATGGCTGTTATAAGAAAAATGTTATCAAGTGTAATGTTCAAGTATGTACCGATTGAGATGTTAAATCGAAAAATATATCAATAGGTATGTCACACGGTTAGATTTTATACATTAAAGACACACGATAATAATCCTTATGTTTATTTGTAATAAATAAGATGCGACAATTACTAGTGTAAATTTTTTCTTGTCACATTCAGACCCAGGATACTATAATATTGATATTGTGATATGCAATTATTTCCATATGATTCCACTGAAATGCTCGTATATTATTTTTTACAAAAGTGACATTAAATTGTGACAAAAAATATGTATTGCAAACTTGAATGTGAAACGAAAAAAAATATGTTCCCTCCACATAGAAAAATATAAAACGAGATGTTATATTACGAGATTTAATTATTCTTATATCTTTCCTACTTTTTGTTTAAGTTGAAGTAAAATGTCAACAAAACTGTCAAGGGAGTAAAGAAAGGAGCTTCTTTCGGAAATCAAGTTACGAGATCTTATACAAATTAGTTACAAAATCTTATTCTCTATCTAAACTGAGCTTCGTGTTTATAGATTTGAAGAGAATTTATAAACTAATCAGAAACTCTTCAGGATCGCCAGCAAAAATTAAAAACAAATAATTTGGTTGACCATATCTGGCAATTTTTAATACTTTCGTATCGCTACGTTTCGACCATGGGTTTTGGTCCTTTTCAAGCAAGTATAACTGTATTAATCGTGCATAGGATCACGTGTATTTAGTGGTGTTTTGAGGATGGTCATTATAATCATATTACGTGAACTTATCTTGAGCACTGGCAAAACATGACTGACTGACAGTAGCGATACGAAAGTATTAAAAATTGCCAGATATGGTCAACCAAATTATTTGTTTAGAATTTATAAAGATATGTGACGTTGAACATTGAAACAGTCTGCGACAATGATCTTTCACGAGGAATTTATACTTTGAAAAGATTTTAAAATATATAAAAAAATGAAAGAGGATTTCGTTGGAATCTGCATAATTATCTCGTCTTACTGGATTACGTTGTAACATGTAACATTTTTCAAAAAGAGAGCAAGATAAAAAGTATACACTAAATGTTATGTGTAAATATCGTTATTATCTGCAATAGCGATACAGAGTACATGCGGTACGTGTGAGCGTGTTCCGTTATCTGTAGTGCGTAAATTAAATAAATTGATTTTGCAAGTGACGTTGACACATGTTGTTCTCGTGAAAGAGCCCTGACACTCAACGCAGCACAATAACATACTTGATTTTGCCACAAACATAATGATTTATCTAACAGTCTTGATAACATTCATTCCATTAATTAATAAAAATACGATATAATATGTAACTACGAATAAATAATCAGTGCATGTTCAGTCGAAATAAAAATCCGAGTTAATTTACTAATTTCTACATAGTCCGATAGTCTTTACACATAAAAATGCGAACAATGCGTTTAGCAAAATGTTACCGTTTTACTAGTAGTTCAAATGTTACAATGATGTACTGAATTTTTGGATTTGCGTATATTATATAAAATTATGATATATTTGAGGTGTTCTTAAGTGACAAAACATGATATAAAATGCTATTGTAACATTTGTTGAGACTTTCTTCCGTATGAAAACACATTAAATAGGATGAAGCAAAACGTTAAGTATTGATTTTTGCTAGACTGTATTGTTAAATGTTGTTGAAAGATAAAAATATTGCTCGGAAATATTTTTATTACGAATAAAATTTTGAGATAGGCTTATCTGTAATATGAACGACGTTTAAAACAGAAAGATTGATTTTTACTTGTTTCTGCAAAATAAAATAGATGACTTGTGCTCTCTTTTTACAAGAGATCATAGAGATATGTTGTCTCGTGCCAATTCACGCGCAACGGCGAGACAAACTGTGTGTATGCGAGACAACTACTTGAAAGTACATACCTTGAATTATGATATTCTAATATAATACTTAGATATCTCTTTCTCTCTCTTATCGACTTCATAAAAAGTGTAATTGTTAGTTGAGATTTCTATTATATGACAAAAATACTTTGCCTTATGAATGAAGATATTACAACTCAAAGCCTAAATTATGAAAGTTTTATTTAAGAAATGTCAGAAATCGTGTAAGTTGCCCTAAAGGATTGCAGTTGATTTGCAGTTGATTGACAGTCATTACCTATGTCGATAATCGTAAAAAGACTAAGGATTCGCGCAAAGAAGAAACATTTGTGGAAAGAAGCGAAGCGGTAGCCAATCAATCTTTTGCTCTTAAGAAAAAGGTAAGTTGATTAGCTACCGTGTCGTTCATAGATGTATCATTATCTCAAAAAAATCAGCCGCACTAACGCATAAATATAGCACTGATCATATACCAATTTACAGACATTTTAACATTACAAAATAATCAATCACAATCATATACAGGATTATTTGGTTAAAAGTTTTTTTTTGGTGTATCTCGTTCATCTATGTACAGAGTTCAATCATATTTAATCAGAAAGCTTGAATAAACGGGCAATTTTTTTGTAAAGTTACAAGTCACTATTTACATGTATATATTTTTGTATAATAAAACATTCCGATAACATTTTTAAATTACTTAATAATGTTATTTTTTGACGTTAAAGAAATATTATTTTGTGCAAAGTTTTATCACACGAATATATAATGCCTTTTTATTTTTTTAAATAATTTTTAAAAGACGTTAATTTATGTATTGTTAGAATCAATAATTTAGTTGTAATTATCATACTTAATTTTAAAATATATTGTTTACTTATTAATCTTATATGAATTTACGTAGAAATCGAGTATCATATATTTATTAATTAGTAGAGGAAAGTCCTCTATTATGAGATAGGCTTCTAATATGAGCTAGCAGAGTTTCTGCTAAATTAATAGGCATTATAATAGGCATCATCTGTTGGTTCTACTATGAATTTATTGTCCTTGGGGCAATTTGTTTAGTGGAAAATTGATTGTTAGATCGTGTAATTGTTGCGAAAAAAGATTTATGATTAAATTTGGACGTTAAAAACCTACTGTCTCATATTTTCTCTATATTTTTACTCATAGTCATTTAATTATTATGCATTATATATTGGTAATTTACCCACTTCGCATAACTGCTATTGGTCTTGAAAATTAATAAGTAATACAATTGTGCGCTAGTTTTGGTAATGTATTCGAAGATAAAAAAGGGTAGATACTAATTATTTGTTATTGTTCTGAAAAAGGGAAAAATATTTATTGTTTTTATTAATTTCACGCAAAGCATCATTTCGCAAGAGATATTCGCAATACAAATATTTTTAAGAAATTTTTTATTTTGTATCTCTCCTGATTTATGTGGTACTTTTTGTACACATAGTCTCAGTTACACAACATCATTTCACGAGATTAGAGAATATATATTTGTATACATATAGAAAAAACCCGCGTAAAATAAAACTGAAGTAGAGGTGCCAAATATTTTTATTCATAAGAATAGTAATTTTAAACTAGTGACAAAGTTGTCTATTTTGAAATACAGTACCGACGGCGATGAAGATTTGAATAAAATTTAAATTAATTTTTCGCAACTTTTATTATTATTTTTTGCAAATATGTGAATATTTTACATACACGGACTTTTCTTTTATTGTACTTTTTTATACTAATAAACTGTATTTATGCGATCCTCAACTGCAAAAGAACCTTAAAAGAAAACTACGTGAACGGATACTCGGCATAAAACGAGGAACAACCGTATACAGGTGTATAATGACGCATGAGCTCAAGACGCATGAAACAATTTCAAATACAATATAGAAACATCACTTAAAACATTACATGGAAAAATTTTTGTAGCTTTGGATATTTCAAAATTCTCGAATACATGATTGTTTTGATTTCATTATGTTATCCCAATTTTTGTAAATAGTAATTTTAGTTTTAGGAATTTGAAATATTTCAGATATTTATATTTAAAGAACAGTTTTCTGGATTAAAAATGTTGAGACTTAAAATGTCTTAAAAGATCTTTGAGATTTTCAAAAATTTCTGATTCTTAATTAATATTTCAAGTAATTCGAATCCTTAGATTGGAATGTTTGAAAACTTTTAGAAAAGGCGCCTGGGCCTTTGTTAATAACAGGGTAACTCCAGTATTTATGTCGCGCGGGGATTTATGCCGCAGAAGTCAGAAAAAATAGAAGTGAAGGTAATTTGCTTACAACCACTCTGTTATGTACCTTTATGCTACATTAGTATTGTATTGTGCTTTCAGTCACTTACTGTTAATATTAACAAAATCATCGCAAGTTGAATCGACTTTTCAATGTAGTAAGTAGCGTCATCATTGTATAGGTATTACGACCAGCATAAAACGATTCCTGTAGAAAATGTAAAAAGCTTAATGATTATCTCATGATATAGACGTGTAGAGGTATAGTAAAGGATGTAATGTAATACAACAAAATATAAGTGCTCCGTTCTTGTATTTTTCGTTTAGCTTGATATCTTGCATAGGGTAACGTCGGTCTTATACGCCGCACCTAGGAAAAACTTAATTTATTAAGCATTATTTACAATGTTTAGGTCAAATAAACGATACTAATAAAAACTGTATACTGTCTACTACTATTAAAAAATTTCTTGTATTTAAAAACTTAGAAACCCTTACATTTTTGCCATATATCCCATAGGTGTGGGTTATATGACTATTCATAGATGGATATATGTCTTATAAATAATGTTCATAAATTAGGTAATGAAATAGTGTAAAATACGTGTAAAAAATTGATAAAAGTATAAGAATGATGAACAAATGCAGATTTGTTTGCAAAATTAAAAACATATCTTATTGTTAGACAAATTATAGATACATTAAAGATGTATCCAAAGAAAACATAATAGGAGTTTTCGTCCTTTCCTCTTCTTGTTCTCTACCATCAGTCTGACTTATTATTCACACGTCTGTACTGTGGCATAAATCCCGCACAGTAAAAATGTCGTACATCCCAAATAAATGGAAAACCTATAATAAAATAGACAATACTTACATATGTGAGAACTTAAACGTTTTGCTTAGCTATTGTGCCATCAATTATGCTGATTGTTGACATCGGCGAAAATGAATGTCCAGCAGGTACGAATGGGTTCACCGGCGGTAATGGTAAACGGCAGCGTGGTGCAGCTTCCAGGACAAGTGCAATCGCAGGGCTTGACTCTGGCACCGTTAACGCCGCCCGCGCACGAATTGGAGCAGCCGCATCCGCTGTACGGTCAGCCCCACATCCAGGTGCAACATGGCGTTCTGGTGAAGGCACCGCCTGGCGCCGCGGCGCATCTCACCACCCTGTCACATCCGGGCACGCCGCCGGACACGCCGCCGGTCTCGGCATCGCCACCACCGTTGCAACTTCACCGCGGCGACCGGGATTCCCGGGATGCGCGCGAACTCCGCGATCGCGGCGGTATTTTGCTGCAGCTGCAACAACCGACGGCGTTGGTGCAGGAGGAGATGCAAGTGGGTACGGGTGGCATGGGTTGGCTGACGCAGTCGCTGAGGCAGGAGCCGCTGGACCTGAGGCCCCACTGCCCTCAAGAACAAACCCCGGACGCTCATCACGAGCCATGGTCAACGACGCATCATCATTTCCAGGAGCTGCAACATTTACCGCGACCCACCAGGCACACTGGTGAGTATTACAATAGCTTAAGTTTGGTTGACAAGAAATTTTGTTGTACGTATTTTCGCGAAGTACCTATGTACATCAAAATTAATTGTATGGAATAATTCCAGAGTAAGCAATCAAACCTTTGATGGTATATTCTAATCATAGGATCATCATTTTAGGAATAAAAAACGATAATAATAAATATGACCTATGTACTTTTTCTCAAATTATATTGTACTGGGTAACAAATTTGTAAGATTTTTCCCTTCGATGAGTTTAATTGGGATATTTAAATAACATAGTAATAAATAGAGGCATATCTTCGGGGACTTAGGCACCAAGAAATAAATGAAATTAAGAAAGTAATGTAAAAAGTAATGTTTTTATGTAAAATTTTGAATGGATTTTTGAGAAAAAGATTTGTAATAGAGACATCTCATATTGTGAAGGCCTTTAAATGCCTTCAAATAACATTAATGAATCATGAAAGAAGAATTGACAATTGTTCAAATTTAAAAAGAAATTGTTACCCAATAATTTCTTTACTCTACACAATTGTAAAATTCTTTAATGTGATTAAACTTATAATGTAGCAATATTTTATATAAAATATTTAATGAATTAAAATCATCATATTTTAACTAACATATTCATATAATTACATGTTAATATCAAATATACATATATGTATATGTAGCAATGTACTTATAAGTAAAAAAAATTATAGCTGTTAAAGACAGAAAAAAGTTTAAACATTTAATGTACATGGTACATCCCGATTCACTTTTTCACTTCTCAATATTTGTTATATCTCATTGTTGTATATCTTCCAACACGTTCTGAAGCTTCCATTATTTTTCTCTGTGGACAATGTTGTTGCAGGTGGATACCTGGCAATGTCAAGTCATCTAGAGTATTATAGTGGTCCGGGTTCAGGAGGAGGAATGCTTCCCGCGGGCGGGGGCGTGATGCAAGGGATGGAGGACAGCATGCAAGGTTTATCAATACAACCGGGCAGACCGTTGAGCGTGTGCTCGGTGAGTTCTTGTAATGGTGGGCCCACTCCAGCTCATCGCTCGGGTAATGGCCTATACTCCAATTGCAACAGTACGAATGCTCAAGAGGAACTCTTGGACGATGAACTTTTGATGTCTCTTTCTGTGCGCGAACTCAACAAACGTCTCCATGGTTGTCCGCGGGAACATGTGAGTGAAATCTTTCATTTCCTATTCATGTAACATAAAGATAACTCGGGAGTACTGTTTCAAATCAGGGATCAAAACCGATGACTAATGTCGACAACGTTATTTGTAAGAATTAATCGTGTAATTTTAATTCGGTATAATTTTAGTTCGATTTTTTATATTGAATTTTGATGAAGTAACGCATGAAATTTTAGCGTTTTAAGATAGCAGGAGATAATCCCAGGATCATTATGAAGTACAAAAATCTGTACGAGTATAGAAAAATGTAAAAGTGTATTGTTCATCGATCATATGTGTGGATATGTTGCGAAACAATTGGAAATAAACCTACGTATTCCTTTTTAATAATTTAAAAATATTTTTTCGCACGTTTATCAATTAAAACAATTTCTCTAAGTAAACACTCACACCCACACCCACCCACCCACAACATTAACAAACCCGCCCCCACACACACACACGCACATACACACACGCGCGCGCGCACGCACGCACACACTACCCAGGTGGAAATATTTTACTGAAAATGTAATGAAATTTTGTTGAAATGTATTTGAAAACCTCTCTTATACGTATGATTGACTCTGTTTCATTATTATTTCACCAACATTTCAGTAAAAACTGTCTTAACATGGGGAAACTAATGATTTAGTTACCGCAACCAGCAAATTTAGCACTTTTGTACTGTTTTAACAGAGCAGGGATATTATTCATATTTGATTCATACATTCAAGCTAATAATGAAGACGTCATTCTTGAATATGTGGATAAAATTACTCATGCACCAACAACTGCATTATTACTCTCACTGCGCCCTTATAGTTTAAAGGTATAAAACTGCAGAAAAGAGTAGGCAGCCGCAATGACCTTAACCTTGACACATACATATTATCAAAGTCATCCTCCTAACTAACACCCAAAAGGTAGTCATCGTTGTTTGTTAAAAAAATTGTTTAAAAAAAGTTTGACGAGCACAACATTTAAAATTAGTATTTTAAGACGTAATATTTATGTAGAAAAGCGTATAAATATGAATATCACAAACCTATGTGGAACTGTAGAATGCGTGGACTTAGGTTTGCTTGGAAAGCAGGTCGCTGATGGATCCGCTTCGCCAGAGACCCTCTAATCAGAGTCTGGCCAACAGAGAGAGAGAGAGGGGGAGAGGGGAGAGGGAAGAGGAGAGAGGGGAGAGGAGAGAGGGGGAGGGGAGGGGAGAGAGAGGAGGGGGAGGGAGAGAGAGAGAGAGAGAGAGAGAGAGAGAGAGAGAGAGAGAGAGAGAGAGAGAGAGAGAGAGAGAGAGA